TTTCATCCTACCATATAAGGAAATGCAAATTCCAAACATGGAATAATAACGTGCGTAAGCGTCCTCTAATAATAAAAAAACAAACATGGCTGCCATTGAGGTTTGACCAGACTTTTCACGAAGAAGTTCGCTAATTCTGTTCTAAAATTTTGGGATTTCGGCATTCCCATGATGTATCATTGTAAGGAAAAGATGTATAATAATAAGGTTTTTACGAGAATACCTCAAAGTATGCACTCAGACAGTACGCCTCGCATCGACCTACGCGCACTCCAGCTGTACTGTCTTCGTGCATACTTTGAGGTATTCTCATAAAAACCTTTTATTACTAAAAAGTTTTAAACTGTCGGCCAAAAAAAAATGCTGCTAAACCCACAGGATTACGGAGCTATTATTACGAATTTAACCACAGTGTATCAAAAAAACAACAAATCTTTATTTGTAGGAGGCACATGCTGATGTACACATTTCGTACTGTATTACTGTCACAGGTATCATCACCTTTGATTTTGAAAAGGCAAGAGGATAAGGCAGATGATAGCTTTGCCAAAGGCATAAACATCAACTCAATAATAAAGAAAAACTTGCTGTGTTGTATTGAAAAAAAAAATAATTAAAAATGAACAATAAGTTTGTCAACAGCAACCTGGAAATTAACTTCTTTGACATTCAAACTACAGCTTTTAAAGTGACACTTCGAATAGACTAAGTGTAGACACAAATGCTCTAGAACTACTTCAACTATGTAACAAATTATAAGAGGCTCGATATTAAAAAAAACAAAACACCAACGTCACCCCGTAAGGGGACTTCGTCCAAGGAGCTTCTGCTGCTTTCGTTGCAGTTTTGACGACTTCAATGCAGACAAAACAACCGAACTGATTTGTCGCCTGACCGACTTTTAGGCCACCATACACCTCCACTCCTCTCCCATTTCTCTCATCATTGCAGAAGAAACGCGGGACAGCCACTCTGGACAATATGTTCTCAAAGTTGTCTGGGCGA